CCACCCTCGCCTTCTCCCACAGAGTCCAAAAGTCTGTTCTGTACATCTGTGTCTCTTTTTCTGTTTTGCATATAGGGTTATCGTTACCATCCTTTTAAATTCCATATATATGCATTAGTATACTGTATTGGTCTTTATCTTTCTGGCTTACTTCACTTTGTATAATGGGCTCCAGTTTCATCCATCTCAGTAGAACTGATTCAAATGAATTCTTTTTAATGGCTGAGTAGTATTCCATTGTGTATATGTACCATAGCTTCCTTATCCACTCGTCTGCTGATGGGCGTTTGTTTTTAGTGAAAAATACAAGTAAAACTATAATGGGGAGTCCTCTTTTAGGGTAAGCTCATAGATATATTTAGGGCATATAAATTATCTGTCTCTCGTATGTGAATCTGACTTACAAGAGTTGTTTCACCATGAAAACTCATATTGAATTCTTGAAAGTAACTATGTAAAGAAGTTACTTATGAAGTTGAAAAACTCCTTTCCTTCATTTTAAGACCTACTGAGAGGTAGGTGCCTATGGCCACAAGCAGACATAGTTTTACTCTGCTTGCCTTTCAGGAGAGTGCAATGTTTTCCATATACTTTTAAATTTCCACAGGGGCCTTCCCCTCCTCTTTGGACTTTTCGGTTATATTGTCCTTCCTTCTTGATCCTATGCCAGCTGTCTCTCTTGCCTCTGGCATCACTTGATCCATGGCAGATGGACAGCCATTCTTACTACCAGCCATCATTGCTTATGAAACTGTCTAGCATGAGCTTCAATTGTTACCTTCTTCTCATTAATCAGAAATAGTAGAGACAAAATAGACAGCGACTGCTGTTCATTCTGCCATAGTCTAATTATTGTATGTGGTGACTGCAAGTTTAGTTAAACAGATCTTCCTCATTAGTTTGTCTGGACTTACAGGGAGAGACAAAGATAGATTTTCTTCAGAATAATGTATAATGTTGGGAAGCAGAAAGACTATAGACAGCTAACAAATGTGAGGTCATGCTGGCTGAAAAATGCATAATGGAAAGACAGAAGGAGCTGGAGTGAAGATTTAATATTGTAAAAGCTTTCAGGGAGGTAGTCTGTACTGGGCTGGAAGGATGCAGCCAGATGTGTCCATGATATGGTTGAGGTTGCACTTGGTTCTTCTCCTCCCCGCTTCCCTCCCTCTCTCAAACAAAATCATCCCTTGGGCCTCTGGTCCTGTCACAGTCTCAGCATATGTTTTGAGAAAGTGAAGAAAGAGAAAGTATTGTAATAGTATTTCTCTACTGTTGCCTGTTGCTCAGTTGTGAATCTAAAAGCAAATGAAAATATTATTTCCATGTTATCCATTTACCCTGTTTGTAATTTAGGATTTCTCCAAACAAACATATATCATTTTCATAGAAGGCTTCCCAAATGCTCCTGTTACATAAATTAAGCTGCAAGTAATTGCCCAAGAGTTCCTCAAGTTCTTTGTTAACTCAGCTATGCTGGAGTAGGTATTTTTAAAGATTACAAATCAGGAAGGGAAGAGAAAGAAGGTCACATTTCTAGCAAGCATCAGGACTTCTGTTATTTTTAGATTCTGTCAGTGGGGCTGGAGTTATTCCTCTCTAGAATAGCTGGCATGAATATGCCTTATTTCTGGGCTTCAAAGTTTATCATCCCCAAGTCAGATGTTAAGAAACAAGTTTAAGAGCGTGAAGCTGGACTCCATAGACTCTGGAAGTCCTCCAGTTCTGTTACTGAACCAAACTTGGATCTGCTTGCTTTGCACAGTAAAGCAAATCTACTGATATTCCGGGCTGTGGTCAAGGAAAGTGTAGCATTTATTGTAAGGCTCCACACGTGTAGTCAGGAACAGCTAGTACTCAAAAGGCCCAAACTCCCCGGTGGCTTTCAGGAAAGCACTTTTAAAAGATCTGGAGACTGTGTGCTTGTGGTCATCAGGTAGTTCACGTCTTCCATGCGGTGGGGGTTTTCACACCTGTAAACCCACTCGGGAGTGAGCACCATATGCTCTTATCTCAGCACTTCATAGGAGAGCTGCAGGAGAGGATGTGGGGCAGGGGGAGGCTTGAGAGGGCCGTGCTCGCTCCAGCTCCTGTCAGCTGCCGCGTAGCTGCCTTGTTAGGAGCGGGTGACGAAGCACACTCTGTGGTCAAGCCTGCTTGTGAGGGTTTAGTCCACTCATCTGGTTGCACTGACAGCCTGCAACACTGTTTCATAACTATAATTTTTTGGTCTCTAAGTGACTGTGTTTAAAAATATTTTATGTTGCTAAGCTAGGTGTAAGTAACCTAAAATTATGAAAGGAGAGTTTGACATCATTTAGATAATCTATAAATCTAATCTCTCTCTGTTTGCTGTTTTCTGTGTATGTGTGTCTTTTTTCTTTCCCCCTTAGCCCAAAACAGCTAAATCAGCACACTCAAAGTCAAAAGAGAGTGATGAACCTCACCGTTCTAAGAACGACAGACCCGCACGGTAAGATGACACCTGAAAAGGGGACTGAGGATCTTGACCTTGGGGTGAGCAAGAGATATGGGCTGCCTGAAAAGAGTGTGTGTTCCTTGGAGAGGAGATCTAGAAATCTGAAGTTGTGAGGAGGTATCAAGTCTTACAGGATTATTTTCAAGCTTTGTTTTCTATTTTAAATTGTGTTGAACAAGTCAAGTCAGGAAGATGGGAAATTTTACAGAAGCTGACTTAAGGAGAGATGCACTTTTTTTGTTAGGTTCTTATCTCTGGAGTCACTAATTGACTGCCCTCAACTAAGAAGGGATGAGATTAACCATTTTCTTAAGTAAAATCTCAGGTTTTAAATGTTTACTGAGTTCCATGATCACATTGGTGTGTGCATGACATTTACACACGTCTAAGTTCATTTCTGTGTGAGTCTCAGTGTCCTAGACAAATACTCATTTCAGTCATTGCAGACTGTTCTTCATCCCACAACAGCATGTAGCTGTGGCTACAGTATATGTATACTTTCTGACTTTTCTCAGGCAGTCTGGGGTGGTGGTTATGGAGCAACTGCTACTTTTCCACTGCAAATTGTCAACATTTAAGTCTTTGGGAAGCAGCCTTTATTTTTTCTTTATTGTTTTCTGTTGCTTTTCAAGGAAAAACTGATCGAAGAGGAAGAGAGAATGTTAAATAGAAAAAGACAAAAGTAACACTAAATCTAACATTTGAAAACTCTAAATTATTGAAACTTTGTACAGTATTTTGGTCCTGATTATTGGTATATTTACTAATTGTTAAAGCATAGTTTTATGACATTGAAAAATATACACTCTTGTTGTCACTCACTGCTCAAGGATTGAACTACTAGACTTATTTCCTTAAATAGAATATATTTAATGTTCTTGAAAAGCTATACTCTGGTTTTAAACCCATGGGCTTTCAGAAGATAATACCTTTCAGAAAATTATATCAGATTGTAAAACATTTAGGGCACAGTAATGTAGTTTGTCTAATTGTATACAGTTGGTTCTTCTTATAGCTTTTAGTTACACACATGCCAAATTTCTTTTAAAGCAAATTTTAGATTTAGTTCAGCTTTATTTATATCCCTACACAACATCCAAGTAAAATAAGAAGAACTAATCTGTTCTCAGTAGGTAAATAGGTAGGTGTTGCTTATTATGCCTATTTTTTTTTAAATAAAGGGAATTAAAATCATCTTTAGAGTTATTTTGCAGCCTTTGAAGTCCTTGGACTTTTTAGAACACCAGTATTTTTGACAGCATATGATAGAACAGCCTGAAATGTCTATTTAAAGGATTTATTAAAGTTGAAGACAACTTTCTGAAATGTAATGGGTTCTCTTAAAAATATTTGATATATTGAAAGAACGAATAATCAAATGATCTTGTGTTAAAACTGGCCATTGTAAATGAGTGAAAAGTGGCCTATGACTAGTAAAACTGAAGTCGTTTTTTGACTTAAGACAAATATTTGTCTTTATTAAAATAAAAAAATATTTTCATTTTTTAATAAATACAAAAAAAAAATCTTTCTTTGCAGAAAGACTATGGCAAAGGAAAATGAATAAGAATTTTATGAAACCTGTATTTCATAGTTAAAACTTATAGCTTATGATCTTATTATAGATAACTTGTACAATTAATGTTAGAAGGTATGCTTTGTTAAGGTTAGAGTCTGTGGTTTCCTCTTTCGCATTTAATCATGGTGGAAGATGAGTTAACCATTTGTACAGAAAGAGATGGTTGCAGGGATTGAGAAACGTGGAGCTTGCTAGTTCAAGATGTTTTCTTCAGTGTAGTGCTAATAGTGGTACAGGGAAACAGGGTCTCATGTAGAGCTTATGACAGTCATGGTGAAAAGTCGTTTTCATTGTCCATTACAGATTTCTGCTCTAAAAAACCGAAAACTAGTTGGCAATCTGAATTAATTCCAATTCTTTGTAATTGGAAAAAATTTTAACCTAAGTTCTAAACTGTTTTAACTATAGGATTTTGTGTTAATAATGCTACTTGGTATTTTGTTTTTGTATTTTTCCCTTAGAAAAACTTAAGGATTTTATAAATGTCATTTGGTTCCTACAGTGTTCTTATGAATATGAAATATATTTTTCTCCACTTATTCATTTATCCAGTATTTATTGAACCCCATAATAATTGCCCAGACCTAGAGTAAGTGGCAGTCAACAAAAATTTTCTTGCTCTTATGAAATTTATAATCTCAACAGACAATTATGCAGCTAACTACTATAATTGTGTTAAATGCTAAGGATGAAAAATGCAGGTTGTTAGAAGAGCATAAGGAGACATTTAACCTAGTCTGGGTGTCTGGGAAGGCTTCTTGAAGAAATGAATTTTGAGTGAATTCTGAAGTATATTCGGTTTTATCACTAGCTTAAATATATAAATCATTTCAGAAGAACAGTTAGAAACAGGTAATCCTAATACATCAGAAACTATAAAACAAACTATTAGTTAACAAGATTTTTCCAACTTTGGATTTAAATACCCCTAACTGAAATAACCGTCTCCAGTGCAACAAATAATTTGGTAGGACCCCGGAAGCATTAACCCAAGATTTGTTCTCCACATAAGCAAAAAATTAATAAAACAGCACACCAGATAACTGAGGGTATCCTAGACTGATTTGTTTATACTCATGGGGGGATCCTAGAGGATTTGTTGGCATCCTGACCTTTGTTCAGCACCTCAGCATCCCTTTCCTTGGTGAAGAGTTTTTCTGACAGTGCCAGTTGGCTTGCGTTTCTCCAGTATTTGGTCATCTAGTGAAGATAATGAAAAGAGTAAAATATAGACCCTGCCACCCTGATTACAAAGCCTGTTTTCTTGAGTGTAAGTTACTTCTTTAGTTAACATTCTTAATTCTGGAGTCAGATTGCTTTGTCTCAACTTTACCTGCCAAGACTTATGTTACTTTTTAAAGGTGAATGTTCTAAGTGTCTGTGAATAATGAAAGAAAACCACTTATTTAATTTCTAACATTTATAAACAAATGATTCCATGCTCTTAACACATAGTTTGAGCACACCTTTGGGAAACACCAAAAAAATGAGAGATTTTGTTTTCCAGCTTTATCAATGCCAAGTGTCTGCAAAAATCTGTAATATAATTAAACTAATAGAAGTTTGGAGTCTTAAAAATTTCCCATATGTTTTTTTACAGTTGACTTGTTTTGACATGAAGTTGCACATGTATTAAAGCTGTCCTTTCCTTCTCTAAGCTCTACTCTGCCACCTAGTGGTGTAACAAACTTCGCTTTAAATTTTCTGTGTTGACCAATGTCCCATCTCCCTCCCTTCTTAGCTGCAGCCTTCTCTCCCTTAATTACTTTCTTACCCCATCTGTCTGTTCCTTTCTTTCTCTTTTTCTTGATGAAACCTGCAAAAACAAAATATATTTCTCATTAATGGCAGTGATCATATCTCATTAATCTTTGTTTATCTATCCCTTAGCACAGTAAATGAATGTGAATGTATTAATTGCTCAGTTGTGGCCGACTCTTTGTGATCTCATGGACTGTAGCCCGCCAGGCTCCTCTGTCCATGAGATTCTCCAGGCAAGAATACTGGAGTGGGTTGCCATTCCCTTCCTCCAGGGTATCTTCCTGACCCAGGGATTGAACCCAGGTCTCCCGCATTGCAGCCAGATACTTTACTGTCTGAGCCCGCTGGGAAGCCTGCCAGTGCCTCAAACTTATTAGCACAATGCCCTCACACTTATTAGATGCTCAGAAGATACTTACTTTTATTGAATTATGTGCATCAAAACAAAGAAACAAGTTAAATAATTTATCCAAGGTTATACAACTGGCTCGGAACTACTATGAGGATTCTGAAATATTCTGGCTTTGCATCTCCACCGAAACTATGTTTTCTAAGTGATCCAGTGAGGGGTAGAATCATAGTCATCACTACGTAGAGTAGCTGTTTAAATCTTGACTTTTCTTAGGCCACCACCACCTGCCATGACAGATGCTGAGGGTTTGGATTACACTCCTTCTGGAAACCAGCATAACTCCACACGTCACTGCTCAAAGTCAGAGTCTTCTCATAAAGGTAAGACAAGTGTATTTTCAGCTGTAAGATCTTTTTTTAATAATCACCATGCTATAGTGGAAAAGCCAGGTGCTATATTATAGATCACTAGAGTGGAAAAATAAGTTCGTCTTCTGAGCAGATCATTATATTATTCTTCTTTATTAGAGGGCTTCCCTGATAGTTCGGTTGGTGAAGAATCTGCCTGTAATATGGGAGACAACGGTTCAATTCTCCTGGGTTGGGAAGATCTACTGGAGAAGAGCTATTCTTCATTTATTAAAAAATAAACAAAAAAAATGATTTAAAAATAGGAAGCAGACACCTTAAATTGGATGGAAGATTTTCTGTGTGCACTCGGTTGAGCTTTGAGTGTCCATTTATACATGGAATTTTTTTCTTCCTGTAGTGAATACTGTAGCACTACACCATCCATGTGGCTGGGTCAGCAAACAGACACACAGAGGGCCTCTGTAGATTGTACGTGGGTTTTCAGCTGTGCAAAGGGTCAGTGCCTCTAACCCTCCCTGCATTGTTCAGGGGTCAACAGTATTTGCATTTTCTTCTGGGAGAGTTCATAGCTTTTATCAGATTCTTAATGGGTGGCTTTGTACCCCATTTGGGTCTCTTGGACTTTTATTGTCCTGGCTATTGTTTCCCATCAGCCCATGACTCTCTCTTAATTAGATTAAAGTACACAGATACACATACGCATCACAGAAACATCACACAGAAGAAAGACGGGGCGAAGAAAAATGGGGCAAAAAAAATGAGGAAAGAACATGAGATCTAAATTGGACCAGATCTTTAAAATGAAAGGAATAATCAGGTCTGTCTCCTTTACCAATGATAGGCATTGACTTAATGTGTAATTTTATGACAGTCATAAAATGAGATAATGAAAATGTAGTTTCTTATATTAATTTGCTCATCTAAAAATATAGGTGATTTTAATGGTGTCAGCATTGTCAGGATTATAGAAGTAAAATATATGAAAGCAGATTGCAATAGACTTCACAAATATTAGGTCCTATTAGTTGATGTTTTTTATTTTTTATGTTTTTTGAAGATTTCTTAATTGATGTTTTCATTATCTTTTCCCAAATCTAATGATTACCTTTCCAAGCTTACTTAAGTTTTCTTTTCTGCAGTGATATACAAGATACCAATGCACAGGTGCCACTCCAAACCCTTTAAATTAGAATTTTGGGGGACACATTTTGCCAGGCGTTGTATTTTTTTAATCTCTCCTTATTATCCTCCAATTAAAAATAAAAATAATAAACAGCTCTCCTTCTCCTGTTCCCCTGTCATTCTGCCATTTATCCAATGTTGAGAATAAGCCAAAAAGATGAGATTAGTTGAACATTATCAAAACAACCCCTACACTACAATTTTCATCAGTTGGTGACCTTTTCAGCATCCCTTGTTTAACTCATGATTTCTTTCTCAAATTGTATACAAGCATTACTTTTAGGGGGTGCATTCATGTCCTTGTCATACATTTGATACATAATACTAAACCAAGACATTGATTCTGAATATAAGTACAGTTTCCCTAGGTACCTATCTGCAGCAGATTGGTTCCAAAATTCCCGAGGATCTCAAAATCCCTGGATTCTTAAGCCCCTTAGATAAAATGTCATAGTATTTGCATATGACCTACGTACACCCTCCCCTAAACTTGAAATCATCTCTAGATTACTTGTATTAATAATGCATAATACAATGTAAATGCTCTGTAAATACTTCAAACATATGTCAAATTCAAGTTTTGCTTTTTGGAACTTTCTGGGATTTTGTTTTTTTTCTGAATATTTTCAATCCATGCTGGATGGAGAACCCACAGGTATGGAGAGCCAATTTGTATGCTTACAACCAAGAACAAACAAAACACATGAACCATTTGAAATGCATAGAAATATAGATAACATTAGTTTATTTGAACAGGGAGAAAAACAGTGTCTCTGAGATTTTTTCCTTAATTGTTTTTCTTCCTTTTTCCTTCTCTCCTCAGGTTTCCATTATAAACCGTAAAAACCTAGGAATCTGCCTTGAAAATGGACTCACTGTAGCAAAATTACTGGATGATACAGAACACATTCCACGCTTATTTTTTTCTTCCTCTATTTTGTATTCCTGAGATTTATCCTCAAGTGTTTTTTGAACCATGAATAATTTTCATTCATTTAAAATGTTTTGGTTATTCCTGATCACTTGGGCAGTACAAGAAAATCTAGCTTCTGAATATTGGCCATCTCTATGGAGCCTATGCTTCCTGGGGTGTAGTATCTAAGAGCTCTATAAAATGCCATTTTCATTAGGTATGGAGTATTGATATTTAATGAGTAGGCTTTACTTAGCAGTTAGGATTTTGTGGAGGTAGTGATCGAAGTAAAACATAATGTTTGGATGCAATGCAGAATAAAAAAATATAAGAAATAGCTTTTTGGTGCATTAGTGTATGATATATTAAAAGATAAGAGACTTTTGCTTTTTTTTTGTTTTCTATTCAGGGAAAGAAAAAAATCACAACCATAAAGTATTTAAAAAGAAAAAAAAAAAGGAACAGTTGAAATATGTAACTGACTATAAAGACTGTAGAGGTTTTATGTATCCTTACACACCCTCCTGGGAAAATTGGCCTAGATGTCATTCAGTAACACCGTCTCTGCCATTGCCTCCTCAATAGCAAAAATTCTGAAGCCTCTGGGCATTGAACCATTTTTTAGTACTTATTGGCAAAAATTTAATTCTAAGAAGTTTTAACTCAAGTTTGCAAGATCAATTAAAGATGAAAAATTTTGTATCCCTTCTCTTATTTTACATTTACGTATAAAGCCAAGGGAATTAGAATTGGAAAGATGTTTATATAAGTAATGATGCTGTCATTTTCTCTGGCTGTAAGATTGAATTTTTCCTCCTGCATATAAAACATAACAGCATTGCTTGGCAACTTCTCAAAAATACTTTGTGTTATCTGTCAATAAGCAGATTAATTGGACTTGAAGTTGATAAAGAAGCTCTTCATCCAAGTATTTGGTCCTGCACATATGTTAGTGACCCATGGGCATTGGATTCCTTTGTGCCAGACCTTAAACCCCTCTTTAGGAAATCTGGAATTTTTGTTAATCTTCTAGCCTCATGGAAATGCTTCTTTTTCCATACCAGTTAGTTAACATAAATATCAGTCATGCTGTATATTCAGCATATTTATACTTGAGAAAAAAGTTGTTAATCCATTCCTTTCTGGCTGGGAACTGCCTTCTGTTTGCCTTATCTTTTGAAATAGTCTTTCTAGTTGGGCAATATTCACGAAGTTTTTTAGACTAGCTTCTCAGAGGATTTGGATTTTTCATTTTGAGGAATAGCTTTAGTTTCATAGTTTTTAGATTGTATAAACTTAAGTAAAGGATACTTAAGAGTTAGGTTTTGAGAAAATAATAATCTAGAAATAAAACCCTTAAGGTTGTAGTCATTTTGGAGAAATAGGGAAAAGGAAAAGAACAGAACTTTGCACGTCCAGGATGAAATGACTGAGGAAGAAAAATCTTCAGTTAAATAGACAAGAGGAGACCAAATGGACGTCCTAGCCTTAAATCAAATTCCAGAGGATGTTTTAAATATCAAAGGTTAGGCCTTGTTGATTCTTGGTAATGCTATATTTTTCTTTGTCTGCCCTGTGATTTTGCTTCATGTTTTAAAAAGTTTTTTATGGTAGCTTTAAAGAAAAGAAAAACAATGTATTTTTATTTGTAAATCAGGCAAATGGGCAACATCATTTGCCATATTTTTATTTTATAAATGTTTATTTTTCTATCTCATACAATGATCAGTTCTTCTTTTCAAATTCTCCATTTATCCTTTCATGTACTACTTTATGCAATCATATTTATTACTGTAAAATGCTCACTGGGTGTATTTTACTCAAAAAATGTCAGGTCACTTTACACATAACCAGGATGTTAGTGTTTCAGCTATGTTAGTAAGTGACCAAAGGTAGTATTTCCCTTGTTACACACAATTCAACATCTGTATTAAAAATTCATTATTTTTTTTAATGTTTTTAAAAGATGAGAGTTTTAAAATATTTTAATTTAATTTAATTTTTTTTTTTTTTGTAAAGCAAACACTTTTTAAGGAGTATCAGAGTAATTCTTTCCCTGTGAATAAGAAGACATATCAAACAACCAGTTGAATTCCTCTTATTCTCATTCAAATAGTGTAATTGTTAATTATTGTTAATTTTGAGGCTATAGAAGCAACTGTGTGTGTCCATGGAATATTCCAGGCAAGAATACTGAAGTGGGTTGCCATTTCTTACTCCAGGGGATCTTTCCAACCCAGGGATCGAACCTGGGTCTCCTGCATTGCAGGTGGATTCTTTACCACTGCGCCACCTGAGAAGCCCCATTTAGAGGCAGCTAGCACTTTATTTTAAGAAACTGCCAAACATCTTCACTGTGTTCTCTGCTTTCCACTTGTCATTTTTATATCAATATGGAAGCATTTATTTTATTTCTTTTCCTATTACTGGAACACACGCAGTTAAATTTTTAGATCCACAGTGTATTATGCTTTAATGTTGTGATGTAATCATTCTGGCCTTGGAAAATCTCCCTGTTTCCATACCTCTGTTCTCCCAGGGGCCAGACCCCACTAACATCAGTGTTACCGAATGAGCACAGTGTGTTGTGGAGCCTTATCATGAGGCTGCTGGACAAGGACACCCCATCACCCCAACCTAACTCTTTGTAAGTAATCACCTGGAAGCAAGGTTAGAAAAGGGTCAGTTAAAATGTTCTGAGTTGAAAAAATATGTGACTGTATTGTCAAATTGTTGTTAGACATATTTTTTTTGGGCGACTGGATGCTTGCTTCATATGCTTTAAAATGACACTGAGAGTTTTAGAATGTGACTTTGCACACAGTGACTTAATATTTATCAAGTGGATTTACGATAACCAGCAGCAGATGAACTGCAGAAAAGACTTCATGGATTTTGATCATAGGGAAACATCTGAAGTAGAAAAGATAAGGATAGATGCTCCCAAGAGGAAAACCTTTCAAGAATAGCAGTGGCCACTTGGATCTAGATCAACATATTCCAAAAAGCACAACCTTGGGCCTTGTGCTTCATTGAACTCAATTGAGAAAATTAGGAACCGAACCTGTTTTCCCCTTTTCTTTGCCTGGCCTGCAGCAGAACTGGATGATGAATAAATCCATTGCTGACTCTGTCCATACCTTTTGCACAATGTCTGGACTTTTCAGTATAAAACTAATGTTTAACTGATAATTATTTTTCTTTAATGCTGTCAGATATTCTCCGAATTTTGTCTTGTGCCAAATTGCTCTTTAGAAACCCTTGGTATAATATGGTGCATTCAGTTTACCACAAGAGTGGTTAACATTTTAGGACCTTGATTTTTAATGAGTGTTGCCTTTATATAAAAATCACGTTGGGGGAGATTATTCATTTATTCAGTGTTGATTTTCTTGAAAGGTAACTGTAGTGATGGTAATATCCTCAGCCTATTAAAAGCACGAGACTGCCACATAAGCAGCTTTCTGAAGAACTGAGAACAAAACAGAACTTGCTCTCAAAGGCTTGTTTCCCTTTGGTTTGTGTTGGGGACTTTAATGTAGAAAGGGAACCCTTCCAGTAGATTTCACTGTTACAGAGTGTGTAATATCCTGATAACGTCAGTTTTTGTAGAACCAAACATACAAAAATCAAAACCAGGTGTTTGAGCAAAAAAAAAAAAAGAACATTTTTAATAATACTTTGTCTATTTATTGCTTACAGCTCAGAGTGAGAGGAGTGATTAGATAAAGTGACCCCATTTTTCCTTCTGTCTGGCGGTGCCTGTGTCTGAAAGCCATAACTGCTGGTCTTACTGGTGACAGGATCTTTTTCCTCCCTCATCTCTCGGAGGTCAGCTGGGCAGGGAGACGCACGCGGAGACTGTCCTGATGGTGACGCGCAGGGCTCAGTGTCACCCAGGGCTCTCCAGAAAGAGTCTCTTTCGTCCCTGGCGGTACATAAGATCATCAAAGGGAAGACTTGAGGCTGCTGTTGCTCCTGCCATTTAACTCTCATTAGAAATGGTAGATTTACTTCTAGAGAAGGCAAGAAGGGAAGGGTAAAGAAGGAAACCCTCACTTCCACAGAGTCACTTCTCTTGTGAGACTTACACTTATGTCAGCAACGTCTGTGAGGAGTAGTATTGCCTTAAATTAGTTTGATTCTGACCAAGGTCAGTGTACTGTATTTCCTTAGATGAGTGACTGGCAACTCTCCATTGAGGTATCAAATTCACAGGTGAGCCCCAAACATCCGTGTCATCGGACGTTTTGGACCTCCTCCCACCGAGCTGTGGGTGACGGACATAGTGACCACTGTGCCATTTCATTTCAGATTGCCTCTCGGTCTCAGTGAGCAGTGGCATGATCAGGAAGGCTGGTGGTCGGAGAGTGAGAATTTTCTGAGCTTATTCTTCAGGTGATCACTTCCTGAATAGTTGAGAGTTGACTGTCTTCATTTCCTATGGTGTTTGTGTAGAAGATGTTTCCAAAGGTTCTCTTGCGCAGTGAAGTCAGTTATTCTGTAAAAATGTTGCTAACACTCTTTGTGTATTGAAATGCATACAGACGTTAACAACAAAGGAGAAAAACCAAACAAAACAGAGGCATTTACTCAAATGGCAGATTTGTTGATGTGAAAAGTGTTTCTGTTTTATTACTTTCAAGAGAAAATCAGAAAAACTTTTGCTAGGGTAGGGAAGACACCAGAGTGGTTTTTTAGGCTTGCATTTGATGCCACAGAGTAATACAATGTCATCTAAGTAATCATGTTGATTTGTGGAAATGTCTGGTCCTGAAGATCACTCTGCCCTTAAATATTTGTGAACACTGCCTAGAAATATATTCCTAATAGACTTAAATGTTTTTGTGTATTCTCAGCAAACTGGGAAATGTTTCTCTCACTTTTGAGTAAATTTGCATAGCGTAAGGAGCCCGCACTGTGCTGATTTCAGCATTTCAGTTAAGGACAGAGTTAATTGTGTAACTTGGTGCCCATGACTCATTGTAGAGGTTCATATAGAAAGAATGGAAGAATTGAAAGACAGGGTCTAAGTGACATTTCCTTCACAAAAGAGCAAGGGTTAAGGACAGCGAAGAGAAAGTTGAGAGGATATATTGTTACACCTCATATGCTTGGGAGAATCTTTTGTTGCCCTGAGTTTCGGACCATAATTGCTAAAATAGTTTCTAGCTGTTAAATATAATGGGAAGGTTTTTGATAGAATTTTTTAAAATTTCTCATTGAATTAGTCACTGGAATCCCTGTAGGCTGTAACTTCAGGTTTGCCATCAACTGAAAGCCAAATGCCATTTCCCAGTATAGCTGTATTTTCCACCTGCCTCTTAATAGCAAAGTAGTATTTGTTCATGAAGTATTATGAGATGATAGGATATAAAAATGATATTCCAAAGTGAGAATTCTCTGTAAATGCAGTTGTCCTTAAGAAGAATCTATCCCAACACACTGTTGTGTTTTGATGGGTGCTGAATTGTAAAGTACAGGAGTTTTTCATATGAATCAAGACGCTTAGGAAGTTTGAGGTGTGCTGTTGTTTGTCTCAAAATTTGGAAAAGTACGCTCTTGAGAGGGAAAGATTAATAACTGCACAGTGCCCAAAAGGTTTTGGATGCTTTGGTAAAAAGCCCTTTGACATTTAGAATGTGGATATTTAAACAAGTGAGATGTTATCCCAAGCACTTACCAGTTTGTAGCCAAGCCCTAGGGGAAAGGCAGCTTTGAAATAGTTATTTCACAGAATTGAACAGAACCTTAATGGAATAGAGTTACTGGCCTCAGTTCAGAAAAAGAGGAGGCCACCTCAAATCACACGCCTGTCTAGAGATTAATGAAACTGAGAGACACTGTGGATGCCTTAAAGGTGACTGATATTGGGTCCTGGCAGGTGTGTGTGCATCCTTCTGGACGAGGCTTATGGAAACAGACTCTTTGAGTTCACCTTCATGCAGCACACTTTCCTGCTCACGACCCCTTTGGGGGAAGTGAGAAACATGGTACTGCAGACATCCTTGTGTCTTGGGCGGCTGAGGTGGCGATGTCTGTCCAGCACTCAAGCCTCCTTCAGTGCCACTTAGACATCTCCATCTGTTCATCTATGCAAGGTTGTGTTTCAGTGTTTCATTTTTTACACTTCGCTTCCCATTTGATTCCTTTAACATCAGGTTTAACATTGATATTATGAATAATTTTTAAACCAAAGTATTGTATAAGTCTGTGTGCTTGTTTTCCTGAATGGTTGGTGACAAACACCAACCTTGTCATTTTCTCTTAATAAAGTCATTCATTTGTTACATCAGTGGTCTCTGTCTCATGTTTTCTTTACTGCATTCAAGGACTTGGGGAGTTCTGTGAACATTCATTTGTTTTTTCTTTATAAAGTTAACCCTAAAATATCATTTAATAACAGTAGCTTTTTCTCTTATACTGATTACTGTAATCATATATAACATTATACTGATGCCTGTGTGCTGTGTTAGTCATTCAGTTGTGTCCGACTCTATGTGACCCCATGGACTGTAGCCTGCCAGGATCCTCAGTCCATGGGGATTCTGCAGGCAAGTATACTGGATACTGGAATGGGTTGCCATGCCCTCCTCCAGGGGATCTTTCCAACCCTGGGATCAAACCCAGGTCTCCCACGTTGCAGGCAGATTCTTTCCCGTCTGTGCCAGGGAAGCCCAAGAATACTGGAGAGGGTAGGCTGCCCCTTCTCCAGGGGATCTTCCTGAGCCAGGAATTGAACTGGGGCCTCCTGCATTGCGGGCAGATTCTTTACCAGCTGAGCTACCAGGGAAGCGTACATTGATGCCTAGTACATTAACTCAATGTACTCAACTCAATGTACTCAACAAGTATTCCCAAATCTAAACCATTAGAAAAATGGCTTTGTTTTGTGTGTGGTGGTTGATAGCTTGGCTGATTTATTTGAGAGAAAAACATGAGTGAATGTTCACA